AATCCCCGCAGCCCCAGCCCCCGCGCGGTACTCACGTGCCCGCCGCCGCCAGAGCCCAGCTGCAGATCGGGCGCCACCACACATGCAGCACGAACGGGGCCCTACGGCCCGCGCGCGCCGGCAGCGCGATTCTCAGTCACAGCATTATGTCGAACGAAAAGCACTTGGCACGTCACAGGCGGTCGAAAAAAAGTCAGCCCCCCACCCCGTTTTCACCGCGGTCTGAGCCGCAGCGAACCCCTCAGCCCTCCCCCCGCCCCCCAGACAACACGGTCACGAACACGGACGAGACAACACGAGCCCCGGCTGCCGCCCCCCAGCCGCCGGCGCGGCTACTCGTTCTTCTCGTCCCGCCAGTCGGGCAGCCCCTCCTTCCACACGATGAAGACGAAAACCGCCAGCACCACGTGCAGCCCCACCACCGCGACGATGGTGGCGTAGAAGCCGCTGTCGTCGGGGGACATTAACAGGAGGCTTTGGAAAAGGAGCAATTTACAGGAGAAATACAAGCCCACGGGGACTTTCACCATCAGTCCTGCAAAAAGGAGGAAAATCTTGAAGGTGGTGGCCAGGCTGCCGCCTTCGGGCTTGGGCTCCGCCGCGTTGCCGGGGGCGTTGCCCGCCGCGTTGGCGGGCCGCTGGGTGGTGGGCGGAGGCCGGTGCGAGCGCGGCATGGCGTCCGTCAGTCCGTCCGTCGAAGGCGCGAAGCTCAGTCAGACAGCCGCCTGCACCCGACCGCCCGCCCGCAGCGACTGCAGCGACTGCGGCGAAGGCACAGGCTCCGCCCCGGAACGCGGAGCAGCGCCCACTTCCGCTGCGGCGAGCGCGGCCCGGCGCATGCGCGGCCTGCGGAGGGGTGGGCGCCCCCGCTGCAGGGGCTGGTGGGGGCAGCTGCCGCCTCTCTGAGAGCTGGGGCTGCGGCAGCCAGGCTGGCAGCCCCGCGGGCCTCCCCTGGTGCAGGGAAGAGGCGATCCGCCCTGCAGGAAGGGGGCCGCAAGTGGAGGCCACAGCTGCGCCGGCCCCCTGCGTGCCGCTTCACTTGCCGCAGTGCGCGGGGTGCTAGTGGGGTTCTGCACATTGAAGCTTCTGCCCCGGCGCACTAGAAAACCCTGCTACCAGGATATTTTCTCTTGAGACGTCAAAAGCTACGGAAAAAGTATGAACCAGACAACATTTTAAGTAAGACAGCCTCCAATTCTGCTATCACACATCCTGTGTCACTTGCCACACGCTAAGCCCTGCCCTAATCCCTGTAAAAATCTAGTGACAAAAACAAGCGATGCCCAACTCAACAAGACACACAACAGTTGAAAATTTAAAACCCGACAAAGGATTTAAACAGACATTTTCCTGAGGAAGATACACAAAAGGTCAATGCCCACAAGTACAAATCATCAGCATCCTTTGTCACTAGAGAAATGCAAATCAAAACCAGGAGAGGCTGCTTGACACCACAAGGATGACTACTGCCGAAGGAGGACAATAACCAGTATCACTGAGTCCGTGCAGATGGACCCTCATGCACTGGGGTAAGAAATGTAAAATGGTGCTGCCTCTGTGAGAAAGTCTCAAAAGTTAACCACCAGAAGCAAGCAGCACAAGTGGGCACTTCAGTCCCAGGCATATTCCGAAAATAGAAACATGTTCAAAAACTTGTACACCGTTTTTATAACATCAGTAGATGTAAGATCCAGAAGGTGGAAACACCCTAAATGCCCACACCCTAAATGCCCACCAAAGGAAGACTGGAGGAACAGGATGTGGTAGACTGGAATATGATTTAGCTATAAAAAAGGAGTGGAGGTTTACACCTGCCAGAAAAAGCATAAACTCTGAAAACATTATGCAAAATGAACAAAGCCAGGCACAAAGGACCATATATCATTGTGTACCAGGGTGGTCCCCAGGAAAAGGGGAGGTTCCAGGTTCCCTACCCCACCCAAAAGGAGTGGGGACTGGGGAGCTGAGCAGGGAAGGGAAGAATCTGGAGAGGAGACTGAAGAGGAAGGAAGCAGGACGAAGAGCCAGAAGGAGACCTGAGGGAACCACATGGAGCAGAGATATGTGAGTAAGTTGCACCTGCTTCTTGGTCCTGGACTGATTGAAACAGATGTGGGTGAGGGACCTGTGGGGAGGTTCACTATGGCAGCGTTTATTTGATTTCCATTTTGTTCTTTTTCTCCCAGACTTGTCTGGCTACCTTTGGGCCCATCCCTTTTGGACGGATTTTTACCCATGAGGGGATGGGTAACTTTGGTGTTTGATTTAGAAACTCTATTTCTTGGTCTTTTCTGTATTGCACACCAATTGTATTAAAGTTTCTTTCCTTTAAAGTTCTTACATATTTTGTCTTGATGCGGCAGATGGCAGAACCTATTTAGAGAAGCAGGTTTGGGGGTTTAGCTGTGTCCCTGTCTCCCTGCCCTGTAACAAGAGAATTTTGCCAGAAATGTCCAGACTGCACATATATGAGACAGCAGTAGATCAGTTGCACAGGCCTGGAGAGCCAGTGGGGCACGCGAGTGACAACCACACAGTTTGGGGCTTCTCTAGTGGTGATGGGAATGTTCTAAAACTGTGGTACGGCTGAATAGGTCTGAATATTCAGAGCTGCAGGCTTGAAATGGGACAAATGTCTCAATAAAGATTTTTACAAAAACCAAGAGAATGATTCCACTGCTGAATCCCTCAAGTCAGAGGACTGAAGCCAGCTGGCTGGCGAAGACCTGAGCTCTTGAAGTCATTCCCCGAGGGACCTCACAATGACCCGCTCCAAATCCATGTCCATAATTCAGTTGGACTGTACAAAGTTCTAGACCAAAGTCAGTACAAAAACAAGTTTCCAGCCCTCTCTCTTCAAAAGAAAGGGGAAACTATTCACAATCTGGAAATCTTTAGTCCTGACAATGAGGAAAAGTGCCAGTGACAAATCTCGGCAGCATCAGAAAGCATAACTACAAGACAAAGTAGAGAAGAGTTAGCAAGAGTTCTTAACTGTCTACTCAAGGTAGAGGAAAACTGTTAACTTTAGAAATTCAAATGAGCACAGGACACAAACCTCTAATCTAAGGCAAGTGTTCTCCACACAGGAGCCCACACGGCAAACAGCCACAAAGTAATGAAGTGCCTCTGTTGAAACAAAGATACAGGGACTCCTGGCAGGCCAGCCTCAGCCTCTACCCCAGCCAAAAAGCCAAGCACGCCCTGTGGAGTCAGCTTTGCTCCCTACTCCATCCATGGCATTATGACTCAGCTCCAAGAAGGTGGCTTCTAATAGAAATGTAACAGTCGGGAGAGTGGCAGGCAGCAGCCAATGCCTCCACCGCTGTCAGATGGAACCACTTCTGGTGTGGTGAACCTATGAGAAGACCAAAACGAAGAGTCTCAAAACTGACAGCCGTCTTCTGGATGAGAAGACCAAAACGAAGAGTCTCAAATCAGACACCCGTCTTCTGGATGAGCAGTGTTGCTTCTGGCCATCTCAGACCCAAGTCAATGTCCTGCTGAAGCGGCAACACACAGAGACCCTCCCTCCATTGGGCTCTGGCTAATGTCAGCCGCCAGTAGAATCTCAGCCAAGGAATACTGGTGGGTGAGACCATCTTCAGACTCACTGTCCCAAGTTTATGTTTATCCACGTTTTGTTGCAAGCTTTGAGTGGCATAGCTAAACGCACTTTTCTCTCTCTCTTTTTTTTAATTCCTAATTTCCACAAGAATTGCAGGACGAGAAATCAGATACAGCGTGACCTTACAAAATAGTATTTAGACACAAACCTTTTGGCCTTCCCCTATTTCAATTATCTCTAAAGGAGAAATAAAGATACTCAATCTAAGGAAGACATTGATAATTTCACCTTTAAAAATTAAAGTGCAGGGGCCCCTCCCTAGTGGCGCAACGGATAAGGAAGCAGCACTGCAAGCTGGCCACAGCCGCTTCAGTGCGAGTTCGATCCTCAGCCCCGGAGGTGACCCACATGGCGCAGCAGACCTCTCCTGTCTCTCCCGCTGCTCCCCTCAGCAGTGTACTTTGTCGATCTGCCTGTCCTGCTCCCCACTCTGTCTCTGGTGAGTCTTCTCACCACCCCTGCACCACTGGCTTATACCCCAGCTCTGAATGCATAAATAAATAAAATCTTTAAAAAAAAAAATCAAAGTGCAAATTAAAACTAGAGCACAATGCAGGCGTACTGCCTGCAGTTATTTCTGTATAGGAATATGTCCTTTTTTGTTGTTGCTGCTGTATTTAGATGGACTACTATTATCTTTAAAAATCCAGTGAAGGGACATAAAAAAGAAAATTTCTGCCAAGTTGTATGTGAGTAAAAACTCATCCCTTATTTTAAGAGTATGCAAATTGCATCCATACAGATAGTATTGACTATCAAAATACATGAAATTAAAGTCACAGACAGCTTCTTATAAACCCACATTCACTAATGACTTTTGTTCATTTTAATATATGTAATGTACATATTAATGTAATGACTACTTTGCATTCAGTTGTTCTTTCAAGTTGGTTTATGTTCCTTTCAATAAAAACATGCAATGTAGGGGCCCTTCCTGGTGGCGCAGCAGGTTAAAGCACAGTACTAAGAAGCTAAAGCCACTTCAGCATGTGTTCGGTCCCCAGACCCGGAGGTGACCCACATGGCGCGGCAGACCTCTCCTGACCCACCCCCCACTCCCTTCAGCAGTGTCCTTTGTCAGTTGGCCTGTTCTGCTCCCTGCTCTATCTCTGGTGAATCCTCTCACCGCCCCTGCACCTCTGACCTATACCCCAGCTCTATATGCATAAATAAATAAATCTTAAAAAAAAAACCAAAACATGAAATGTAAAATAAGATAAAATCTAGAGCCTTTTATCATCAGCGGTTGGTCTAGAATTTTGATATGTTTATTACATCAAAATATTTCTCTATGTAACTGAATTTTTATTTCATATCTAAGGCAAGTGTCTCCGTCCCAGCCCTTTTTTGAAGACCGCCAAGCAGGGTATACACTGCCAGTGTGAACTACAGCTTTCCCACATGAGAAATGTAAGAACGGAGACACTTCAACTCACCTGGGGTCACAGTCTATGAGGGCCCAGCCCCCGTGGAACTTTTCATTATCAGGCAGCAGTAACTTCATGTAACTTTGTAAAAGTTGACTAATTAGTTCCTGGTGGCTTCTCTGATTTTCCTTATGCAAGGCTTCATGCTCTTTCTCCTTGGTGAATATGGAATACAGATCTTCTGTCACTGGAATGCCTTGCATCAAATCTAGAGTAGAAAGTGTTAATATATCTATCATCAGTTACTAACACACTTAAAAAAACAAGGGAGGAATGTAAGGCCTAAAACCATAAAACTCACATGAAAACACAGGCATAAATCTTTGTGATGTTGGTGAGGTCAAAATCAAAAGAAAAAAGTAGACAAACTGGACATTACCAAATTATAAAAAAATTTTGTGTTTCAAAGGGCAATGCCATAAAAGTGAAAAGACAACCTACCGAATGGGACTTTATATTCTGCTATAGAATCCAGCATAGTTGATAGACTGTACTCTTCTGAAGAGTATATTGGCTCTAAGCCCCTACTTAGTAAGGTTTTACAAAAAAATTCTTTATCAACAGTCAAATGGCCAATTTAAAAATGGAGTAAAAGACGTAAATAAGCTAACTTCTTCCAGGTATGGCAGGTTGCTCAAGCCTTAAAAATACATTATAATCTCTTTCCCTCTAGTCTTTGGGACAAGAAGACTGGAGGCATCTTCTGGGAAAAGAGGCCCGACAAGGAGAAGCAGTAAATCAAGGCTGCTGCTGGCCTCTCTTGCTCAACCCTCAGGAGACCCAGTTTCAAGAGTAGGATGAGCTGATATTATGGATCTTGAATTGAGAGGACAGAACCTGGTCTTCAGTTACACAGCCGAGTTGGCAGCATAACCAGCAGAAGAAAGGTATCTTTCTAAAATTTAGATTTTAGCAGGCATCACGTATCCTGTCCATGGCAAACGAACCATACTTCTTTACACCAGGCTTCTCAGAAACCTAACTAGCACCCGACTAGGTGCTAGTATTTCATGTGTGAAACAGTACATGATTACTAGATTAAAAATGGGACACAAAAAATATTCAGAGAGACCAGTCAGACAAACTCTTATACTTGGTTTAATCAGAAACACTCTACATTTACTGTAATCCTGTAACGTAATATGTTCATGAAAATTAAATTAAAATTCATATCAGGGCATGAATTCTACTGGGCAATCTAGCCTCTATTTCCTCTTTATCATAATGCTAAAAATTTATAGCCTATTAAGTTATGGCTACAGAAAAGATATATCACTCTAAGCCTTGAGTGATAGAAAAACAGAATGTAGAGTTTTCAGCTAACAAGGTTTTAGGTCACCTTATTCCATACTCCAGGTCCCTCAACCTGTCTTCTGTTACATGAGTCGCAAACTGACAAATGCATGTGAAAATCTGTGGTTTCTTGCTTCAGTCTACAATACCTATCACATTTTAATCCTGTGAAAATCTGAGTTTGACTTACTGGGTTAGATGTTCAAAAGCGATACACTAGGATAAACCATATAAACTGTTAATAAAGTTGGTTTCTATAAAATGTTAGTCACAGACAGAATCACACATTTAAAGAAAGCCATTTATGCTCCTTACCTATAACAGCTTGCCTATAGGCATCCTTAAATCGGTTCAGGTAATACCTATTTGCTGAATTAACACCATCTTTCATAACACCTGCTAACTTCCTTTCTCCAGTTCTTGTAAAGTCACCCTGTCAAGTAAAAAGGTCATTTTGATAATTCAAATATAAGATTTCCCAAAGTCAATGTAGACTTTCAATGCAATACTGGAATTCTGCTTTCCTAATTTCCGAGTTAAAATAGCTACTAGTGGTTGGCTCTGACCCAAGCGTTCCAATAAAGAAAAATGCTATCTGTGGCATCAAGTCTTCACAGTTTGATGATGCTTTAAAGTAAAGCCATTCTTGGCAATCTGTAAAGTTTCTAGAACCTAGCTCAAAAACTGTAATGAAACAAAACAGCCACAACATTTCCAAGCCAGCAACTCGTATGATACTCAAAACGCACAAATTTCTGATGTGGGGAAATGTGAACTGTTCCCCCGAGTCCCCAACAATGGGCTTTCACCAAGATGTGTGGGTAAGCTTCATGTACCAGAGACAGCAGTGGCTTCCACCCTCACTTCACATTATAATCCCCATAGAATAATCCAAGATTTAAATAGTTTTGTTTCCCTGACTTTTCACAAAAGTGTCAGTGCAAGTCCCTAAGGAGAGAATGATTTAACTCGAAGGCAAGCAAAGCATAGTTCTTTTTGTCTCCCATCCCCACTCCACTCCAGTCTCTCTACCCAAGAATATCTCAGAAATGGGTCTTTTCCTAAAAGACAATTCAGAAAGCACATGCTGCCAATCAGGTCATTCACAGAAATTATTAATATAGCAACAAGACTATTATAGGAAAGAGACACATGGCTGAGTCCAAAGTATCAAAAAAGAGAAGTATTTCTCTTTCCTCCCAGCTTTATTGAGATATAATTGACAAGAAATCACTGTCTACATTTAAAGTGTATATATGATTTGATACATTTAGTGAAATGGTATTTGGTTAACACATCCATTACCTCATATAATTCCCTTTTTTTTTTTTTTTTGGTATATAAGAACATTTAATATTTACTCTCAGCATATTTCAACTTTATAATATGGTGTTGTAAACTATAGTCACTATTCTATATATTTTATAGCTCCAGAATTAACTCATTTATAACTGAAAGTGTATACTCACTGACCAACCTTTCCCCGTTTCCCCCATCAATGAATCTGATGCTTTTAGATTCCACACATAAGTGAGACACAGTATTTGCCTTTCTCCACCTGGCATATGTCACTTAATACAATGCCTTCAAGGTTTGTCACATTATTACAGATGGTAGGATTTCTTTCTCTTTTTCTGGATGAGTAATATTCCATCGCTTACTCTCTCTCTCTTTCTCTCTCTCTCTCTCACACACCCCTCTTCTTTAGCCATGGTGTCATTAAACTTAATGACACAGACCTACCAACTGCAGGTTACTTACCTCTTTCTCTCAAAAATGAAGTTAATTTTAAACCGCATGCTATGTCTTAGAGGATGACCCACACAAGCTCTTCCTTACCTTCAGAGCAGCTGTCCCGGCATACTGTCTGCTGATGGAGTCACCATTGTTAGCCCACATTATCTGATAGATCCGATTGCATTTCACAGGCAATGGCTGCTCTGGGGGCATCACACCTAATTTTTTCAGCTAAAATCAACACATTAGTGGGTAACTACATTTAAATCAGGAAAATATAGCATAAGATGTATATTACAGAACAGAAACACGTTTATAAACAATTTAGAGTCCTTAAATGAAGGGGACAGTATCATTGCACTTTTTCAAAATAATGTACCATTTAAGGGCCTCTCTTATGGGTCAAGGGGCTAAATCTCAGCTCTATGAAGCTATCTGCAGCCACTGCAGCACAAGTTCCCCAAGTTCTCCATCCAGGGAGCGGACCCACATGGCATGGCAGACCTCTCCTGTCTCACCCGCTGCTCCCCTCAGCAGTTATTTCAGTCCATACGTCTATAGTGGTGAATCCTCTCACTCTCCCTCCCTGCACCTCTGGCCTATGTCCCAGCTCTTGTATGCATAAATAAATAAATCTTTAAAAAAAAAAACACACACACAGAAACAACAATAGTAGCAGAGCAATAATTGCCCCATAAATATTATCTCTAGCCAGACTAGGTTTCTAAGAACTTTTTTACATTATTTCATTTACTTCCCACAATTCTTTATCATCAATACTCTTATTACCCTCATTTTAAAAATAAGGAGTCAAAAGTTTGAAGAGGTCAGTTCTTTACATGGATTCAACAGCTAGTATGTGACAGACCCTGGCCTTGAACTCAAAAGTCTGGATGCTTACATGCTGCGTTAGAAGGAAAAGACTCACATCAAAAAAGACTCAGTCAAATGTTCATAAAAATGACCTCATGCGGAGGCTGACAATGGCAGCCTTTGTCTTGACTTGGAATTTGATTTTGCTCTTTTTCTTCCAGACTGTCTGGCCCCTTCTGCCCCTTCCTACTGTCTCCCCACCAGGAACTGCCTTAGACTTGGTGTGGGCTTTCAGGTCTCAGTGGCCCTGCTTTGGGCCAACTCTGTTTGGCTGGGCATTTACCCATGAGGAGTTGGGTAACTTTGGGTGCTCCATGGAGAAACTGTTTTAACCACATTCTTTCTCTTTTCTGGTGCACACTAGTTCTCTATTGCACACTAATAGTATTAAAGTTCTTTCCTATTGAAGGTCAAAAAAAAAAAAAATGACCTCATCCTAGCAATTTTCATCGTGGGAAGCATCTAAAAGGGGGCACTGAGGTTAACAGAGGACAGAACAGATATAATGACTGCAGAAAGCAGAGACTGTAACCAGGGCTGGGGTACAAAGGGGAAAAGCTGAGTCTGTGGTTCCCATGGAACCAACAATCCAAAGGAGGGCTTGCCCTGCACCCAGCTTTCCAGGACTTCTTTTGTGCCCTTATTAGCGAGCCTGATATGGGCAGCTGCAAGCCAAATGTGGTGCCACAGGCTTCCTGTGCCCAGTAGAGACAGGACTTGGAGCTGAGAGAAAAAACAGGTAAATAACCACAAAGTGTCACAAAATAACGTTGGGCCTCACAAGTTTTAAGAGTATTTAAGAAAATATCGTTTAAGTCAACCTATTTCTAGTGAAGTTTGTGCTTTCTAGATTGTCAGGCAACAGGATGGTTGTATACTATAAATGTTCTACCTGACAAAGACTTCAGTATTTTGTTTACACGTGAAAAAAAAATTTTTTTGATGAATATTTACAGCCCAACAGATTCCAAATTACCTGCTGCTCCATGACCACACGGGCAATAGCGGCTTGGACCACATTGGTGCGGTCCAGACAGTCCATGCAGTTGACGCGGAAAATCCCTTCCTGCTTACATATTACTCCAGCCTGATCCACCCTTTCAAAAACAATATGAGATTATTTTACAGTGTAAGTACTCTTAAGAAGTTTGTGAGAAAACACAATTCTTTAAAGTATAACAATAATAACAGCATTATCAATTTGCTTGAATTTGATAATGTGGCAGGCATTAGTGTGCCCTTTCTTAGCCAATTAACTTATACAGTAACTTGGTAAGAAAGACATAATCTCCATTTCGGGAAAAAAAAAAAAAAAAACCACCAAAGTGCAGAAAGAGTGATCTTGCTAACCACAGAGGTCAAGTACTAGGCAGAGATCACAGCCCCAAGTTACGCTTTTCAGGACATTAAACACCACCCTGCCCCTCCTTTGTGACTCCATGAAGAAATGCATCTGAATGAGCTGGAACAGACTACATCACTTTATCAACCAGTTAGGGGCCCGAAGTGTGCTTTGCTCGTCTGATTTCCCTGGCCATCCACGGCCTCACCATCTAATTGCATGTTCTCTCCTGTCTTTAGATCTATTTCCTCTTCCTACAACTCCCTCCTATAGTCTGAGAATCATCCTTCTCCCCCCATAATCTTGTAATGAAATGTTTGAAATCTGAAACCAAATACCTTTACTAAGCCCTCCTTCCCATGTTAAGGACGATGAGGCAGACTCGAGAAAGAATAAATGTATACTGTGGTACATGAGAAGGAATTAAAGAATATTCACAAGAGTGTTTCATTCTGTTTTGCCCATCCCTATGACACCTTTTTCCTGCTCAAAGCTAGTACTGTCTAATGACTAACATTCTCTTGAAAAAATAGGATATGAGAAAACAAAAATTCTTTCTCTGCTTGCTGCTGTTATTTGAATACTCTGTGGTACTAGACAAATACATCTGATTTCACAGACAAAATACTTACCAACACCACTTCATGTCAAGAATAATGTCATAAATGGCATCTGTTAATGTTTGAACATTCTCAAACTTCATTCCTCGGCTAAAATACATGCCAAAAAAAGAGAAACTATCTTTAATGGTAGTCTATACTTAAGATACATTTAAGTTACTTAAGAAAATTTTTTACAATGAGTACTCTAAGTACATGATGTTAATACCAATAAATTATATCAGCAATTATAAAAATTTGCACTGCAAAAGAAAAAATACTTAAGAAGCTGAAGCATAACACAGGTTTCTCAGAAGGTTCTTCCCTCGCCAAATTTTGAACACTTGGGTAAATTAACCCAGGTAAGAGCCTGGATTATGATAAAAGAGCCTTGCTTTGAGAATGCCCATTATAGCTAAACAATTCATGGATTGTTTTTACCAGAACAAACATTAGTAAAGTTTATCCACAGGGAAAGAAATATTATTAATAGAGTATGAAGACAAGCCAGCACATGCTTTAAGCAAGGGAACTCTAACTTCTGCTAGTCTCAGACTCAAGCCAAAAAGAAAAGCTCCGTTCTTTTGTAACTGACTGATAGAAGCAGAACTCCAAGCCTGCCAGGCATTTGAAGCAGAAAGATTGTGAATATTTCAGGGGAAAAAAAAACACCTTAATTTTCTAGTTATAATCAAACCCATGTGAACATTAAATCTATAAAGCTATCCAGAGTCATGCAGCACAGGTTCAATCCCCAGCCAGGGAGGTGACCCACAGGGCGCAGCAGACCTCTCCTTCTCAACCGCTGCTCCCCTCAGCAGTGGATTTCAGTAGATCTGCCTGCTCTGCTCCCTACTTTCTCTAGTGAATCCTCTCACCCTCTGCAACCTCTGGTCTATACCTGGGTTCTTTCTTGTATACATAAATAAATAAATCTTTAAAAACAAAACAACAAATAGAAATGATACTCCTTCCCATTCTAATAATTGTCTTCCCAATAAAGAGAAACTGAAGTTCCTGCAGCAGCTTCTAGTGTCAGCATTGGAACTGATCAGATCTTCAAGAAGCCATCTTACCAGTGCTCGTGGAAGTCAAATGAAACATAAGTGAGTTGTGAGTTGTTAAAGAGCAACACTTGCTTCAGATAAGCATCACCAATAATTTTCTCTCTTCCTGCCTGGTCTACCAAGTTAATAATAACCTATGAGAGCAAAGAAAAAGAAATAATTCATTTTAGTCATTTGTTAGAATTATGTGATTTTTATTGATTTATCTGGAATGTTTTAGAAATATTTTAGTCATACTTAGGAGTTAATCCACTCAAACACAATTTCTTCCCCCTATAAAATTAGATTTTTGTTTGTTATATTTAGGTTTATGGGGCTTATTTATATCAATGGCATTAATAGCTTTTTTATCATTTATAATAACTAACTAGAATACATAATGAAAAAGTCCTTTATAACAGCAAGTATTTAAAATATCTAAAATAATTTAAAAATATACAAGATATACACTAGACACTATATAACTGCTGAAATATATGAACGAGAAACTGAATAAGGGGAGAGATAAAACACAGTGCTAGATGCAAGAGTCAATATTGTAAAGGTGTCAATTCTCCCCAAATTAATCTATAAACTCAACAATACAAATCAAAATCCAAGCAGTATCTTTCTAGAAACTTGACAAGTTAATTCTAATTCAAAGTCTCAGTCCTTCTGGAAGATGGGGAAATTTCTGAAATGAAGAGCAAAGGAGAATCCCATCTACTGCAGCTGAAATGGGGGTTTGGGCAGAGGGCTAGAGGAGTGCTCGATAGAACAGGCCAGGCAGCCTGGAGATAGACTGCACATCCCGAGGGACTCACAGGATGATACTCTTTAATTCTGGGACATCTACAGATGATCCTATAAACTCTATAGAGGTAGCTCCAAGTGCCAGGGGAAAGCTTTCTGTAGCTTTTTACATCTTATTGTACACAAAATTAACTCTAGATGCATTAATGATCTAAATAATTTTTCTCTAAGTTATAAAAATACTACAAGATAATTTGGGATTATATTTCTGCTTTTGTAGGATGGGATTTAACACTCTAGGGACAACATAAAAAACAGTGCATAAAGAAAAAGACAGATATAAATGGAATAGCTCTGTGTGACAAATGGCAGTATAATCAAAGATAAAAAAACAAAACAACAAAAGGACAGATCTGCAACATAAAAACCAATAAAATAGAACAGTATCATTGGTTTTGCATTATAATGTTATAAAATATTGATCTTATTATATACTATAAAGATGCTATAAATTCAGTAAAAAAAAAAAATGGGTCAAGGATACCACAGGAAATTCACAAGAGAAAACAACTTTGCACAAGAGACTGCAACTTTGTTATTCAAAGAAATGTAAGTTTTGCACAAAACTGGTTTTTACCTGTACATAGACAAACATTGAACACTTAATGTAGACAGCTTTGGTGGGTATGTGTGGAAGTGGGCACTGTTGCTGAGTGCAAACTGGTGTGAGCTTTTTGGGAGAAATATAGGGGTTGGTACCAACCTTAAATACATATACTATTTGAACCAAACATTTCAGATGTGCAAATTTATTTTATAAAACACAAGAGTCCCCAAAGAAGGATGCTTTCTAGCCTTTATAATAGTACAAATGATATTCTAGCTGCGACTGCTTCAGAGCAAGGAGGGCCACCTCCCGTTAGCAAGCACCACCTTGCGGGGGTGGGGATCAGGTGTCTCCATCTGCTTTGTTCCGTTCCAGCTCTGGCATCTCTGCAGTTTGATACGGACCTTTTTTTTTTTAAACTTTTTTTTCTTAAAATAATATAGCCTGCCTGCTTGCTGTTTCAGGGCTGTGATGTATTTTCCCAGTGGTTTTGTAAGATTTCACAACAACTGAAGGGGGAGATCCTATACCTCTAAAACACAATGTTGTAAAGCAATTCACATTAATAAAAAAATAAAAAGGTTTCACTGCCCCATCCAAAAAGGTCTGCTAATGGAAAAATGGTTAAAAGCTAGCCATGAGATATTAACGAGAACAGATGTAGAAAAATGTCTATGGTATGACCCACTGCTGACGTCAGTTTATAATGGTGCATACATGTTTGGGGCTGCAAATGACAAAATCCACTGACTTAAATCTCAAAACAGGGGGTCTGGAGTTTGCATGGTTTGAGAATTGCTTAATGAGCAGTTACAGATACAGATGCCCGTTTGCCATTTTTCGCTCTGCCATCCTCAGCAAATGGGTCAGTCCTCTGGCTAGTCCACTTACTCGACAACTGCACCAGTGCCTCATCAAATGCAGACACAACCACAGGAGACTGCTGGCGCCTGCGTCTCTCTCCTTTAGAGCAGGAGGGTCTTTCCCAGAGGCCTCCCGGCTGACTACTCCACACATCATAGCTCACGGCTGATTTGCCAATGAACATGCACAGGCCGCGCCTAAACCAATCACTGGCAAGGACAACGGTGGTGCCACCAGGTCTGAGTCAGACCACCGTGGGCCCACCTCCTGGAGGGCAGTCACCTAGGGGACAGAGTGGAAAAGCAAGCGTTGCTGGGCTACTGCTGGAAACCAGGACATGTCTGCTCAGTACATACACCTATAAAGTTGCTGTGCACAAACAGGACTTAAAGTCAAAAGGGTGCAGGGATGAGAACGGTGAGGTTACATTTGCTCTGCTTCTTTCACAGACTTCAGTATTGCTTCAGTTTTTACAGTGATTAGGTGTTACACATACTGTGATTTCTTCTTTGTAATGTTCTTGATAATTACACATATTGCTAATCAATGAACGTATTCGCATTGTAAAAAAGTCAATCAGGGATAAAGGTTAAATCCTCTGACCACGCAAAGGCATCTCTGGAGGTAACCCCCGTTACATACTTAGTGTATTCCGTCTTCAGCTCTAAGTGCACACCTATACAAATGTGCAAGATACGTATATGTGTGAGAACATACATAGGTGGCAGAGAAATGCATGTATATAAACGACTATTGTATTTTATAGGATCTTTAAATGGTAATATACCATAGGCGGTTACACTGTTTCTTTCTAACCTCCTATGATTTTAAGATCTTTTCATGTGAGTACACATGGATTTGCCTAATCACTTTTAAGCATTTGCATTTTATCATTTTAGCTGTGCATATTTTACCCACTGACCTGATGAACATGTTACTTTTATGCCACGACAAATATTCTTCTACATGCCTACTTGACTGAACACATTTTCTCTAAGGTAGATTAAACTTTTTTGTAATAGAGTGCCAGTTACTCCATATCTGTGACAAAACTTGGGATCCCCCCTTTTTAAATGTGAGCTATTTTGGTGAGTGGTGGTGGTTAGTTTCATTTCTTACTCTAGATACTTCTTAGACTGTTAATTACTGATTGTAGACTAACCTCCCTCCTATCCAAGAACAGTCTGAAGTAGCTGAGTCAATAGTTTAAATGTGATTCTTTAATGTCAAGATAAATGCTATTTTGCTTAGTTATTAACTACATGTTATTTTCATGAAATTTAAAGAAACAGATACATAGTCATTTCTAAGCATGTAAGAACACTTTATTACTACAGATCAAAGCCCACCTGTTTTTTGTAAATTTTCAGTTGTTCTTCGAAATGGGCACAGAAATAGGGAACAGTTTCCTTTTCACCTACAAAGAAGTGATACAAAGTCTATTTTTCCTTCCCATGTTTAAGACAGAAATTAGTGTCTATTCCATCTTTACTCTTAATTTACTGATACCCGCATGTAACTAATAGTCTACAAACAGTATTTTAAAATGAAAGGCTAAGCCAAAAGCTGATTTTTTCCAATTAAATGGAAACATATGGAAAGTGCAAATTGAAATTGAGACATTTATTATTTATAAATAAAGGTTCATGTAGTTTATAAATAAAATAAAACCCCCTCTACAACAAGGTAAAGTATAAAGAGGCTAGTTTTCCTGAATGCTCACTAAGTATTGAGAGAAAAATAGTCTGTTAACTTAATTTTAAAAATCAATCTCATTTAGCAGTCTAAGTAGATTGACTAGCTTATTCCAGTGCTGAAAAAGATTAAATCGTCATATTTAAAACAACAAACCTTGCACAGTGAGACACTGATTAAAGGAATCTACTATTTGCAGATGTCGTGTTTTAAGATAGTTCCTGGGTCTACAAATACTGTATACATTTACCCTTTTCCAAAGTTGAGCATTCGATAAAGTATTCTCAAAGAAACAACAATTTAAATCTATGAGACAAACTACGTCTACCTTTAGGGGGAATATTTTTACTGCCAAACTCTTATTAAACTGTCAATGGCCACTATTCGTCTTACCATTGTATTACTGTTACATTTCACTGTATGAGCATTGAATGACATACTGGTGAAACAAATCAAATTTCTGCATTATCTAATATTTTAAAAAATGTCCTCTCTGAAATCACTACTTGCAAACCAAAAAAAATTAACAAGCTTACTTTTGTCCAGTCGAGGTCTTGGATTGTATCGATACCCAACCTGGCTCCAAAAGACAGGCACAGAACCACGCGTTTGAATAAATGACAAGGTGTGATTATGGACATGAATTAGCTGCTCAGTCTCCACATAATTTGCAACATTTCCATTTTTATCCACTCCTCTTCGTTTATAGCGCATTCCTGAAAGAAAATCAAAACAGCAAACCATCTTTTTTAAAAAACTTGCTTAGCCTGACTAGCACATGCTTCTTACCCAAATCTAGTCTTTTAGGTGAGCCTGGAGGCCAAATGTGCAACTGCGAGACAGAACAGCACGCGCCCACCCCAAATCATAATTGTGTATATGCCACTGCCTTCTGAAGCTGAAGCTAAGACAATTCTTCTGAAGTGGAAGAGACAGCTTTTCCCAAACGTGCAAGCATTCCAGGATTTTTCAGTGTGATAAGCTACTCAGTGGGAACATCAGTATTTACCAATATCTCCCCGGTGACTTTCTTCTCTTCTCCAAATATATACCTTTTTTCCCCTCCTTTTATTAACTTATTTAAATTTAAGATTTATTTTAGTTACATGCATACAAGAGGTAGGCTGCAGGCCAGAGGTGCAGAGGGTGAGAGTACTCACCAGAGACAGAGTGGGGAACACAACAGGCAGGCAGACTGTGATATACTGTAGAGGGGAGCAGCAGGCGAGACAGGAAAGGTCTGCTGTGCCCTGTGGGTCACTCCCAGGCCAGGGATGGGACTCATGTTGCTGTAGCTGCTGACAGCTTCACAGTGCTGAAACTTAACCCCTTGTTTCACCAGGAAGGCCCCAACCCTTTTACTAGCTCTTGCCACTCCTCTCCAAAAACTATTTCCCAGTTACATCAAACTATTGCGTCACTGAGCTGAGGTCAACTGTATTTCCAAATTCACTGTTAACATTTCTACTCATCTGCAGGTTTTCTGTTCCACATTGATTTGATTTGTACAACCTTAGAGCCCTCTACTTACCAGCTCTGTGCCTACTTCGGCGTGAAATGAGAGCCACTAAAAACCGTGGGTGAACGTCGTCTACACAAGTGGAATCCTGAGGAGGGGTCTCTGGGCTGCTCTTCTCGTCATCAGATGATTCATTGTAATTAACTACCAATTCTTCAATCTGCACAAAGCCTTGGATAATGGGGATAATCCAGTAGTCGACATCTGGTGTCTGAAACCAATATTGACATCATGTTGTTTCTATACCAGACAGAACAGCTACTTTCTGAAGCTCATACAGTAGCTAGCACATTATCTGACAGTTATTAAAAGCAGAAATCTTCCAGGGTCTAACTGTATTTTCTGCTTTTTGGAAAACACCAAGGAATGGTAGGGGGGCTAGGGTCCATCCTTTTCTTCACGGACATTATTCAGGAAGAGCAGTCTGAGAGGGACATCAGAGCCAGACTGCTGGGGTATGATCCATAACCTCACTATGCTTGATGTTCTGTTTCATGAAATAGGGAAACTAAAACCTCGTAACACTGCTGTGAACATTAAACGAGTAAAATGTGCTTGACATAATGACTGCCACTGTATATAAGTGTTTAACAAGTGTAGCTATTATGATTATGCCTGTCAGAGAAAAAAAAGTTTAAAGGTTGATTTTCAACTAATTGTGTTAAGCCTTAAATAAAACACAACTCTGTTCACTATTATGAAACAAAGAGGTCTACTCTGTTTTCCAAGTTTAGAAATAAATTTGGTTCACATGCCAAAATCCAAGAAATGAACCCCACCCGCAAATTATCTTATTTTAAAGTCATCTAGTACAATTAAGAGACTATTAATTCAAGTTAGATTTCTTCCTCTGTGTCTTTTAGACTAAGAATACTAAAATTTCTCAATCGTTTGCAAGCAGGGACAATGATGGAACAACAACAAAAAAGGGCGCGCCGGAGAGTTGCTCTTCAGCCCTTTCTCCCTTCCTCCGTAGCTGATTTAGCCTTATCTCATCAACTTCAAGTCCACCTTTTCTTCCATAGCCATATGCTCCAGGTCCTACCCCACATTTCTGTTTTATGGAGCCCATGGACAGGATGTTAGGAAGGAAGGTAGATTTGAAACAGTGAAGGGCCTATTTGCATTCATTGTTCTTACAACCATATCCATGACTGTATTTCTCTTCTACCAATAAATGCAAAGCTCTTCATAGGAACAGAGAATGTTTGTGCAAAATGTCACCTTTATTATAAGTCACTAGTTCTAAATGAAAATGCAGTGTCTGACAAAGACTAGAACTCTCTATGTCAGCACACAGGATACATATTCATTATAGACACCCTAATATTTATCCCCATCACTGAGTTTTGATGGACATAGCTTGATCAAATTCATAGAGAGGTGAGACTATTTTCATGCCTCATCCTCAATAGAAGTATATGGTATCTAGATGCCACATGAAAAAGTCAAGATAATTTATACTGACTAACGCCAGCAGAAGAAAAAGAGAAAATTTTGGAATTTAGAAAAAGAAAACATGTGGCCCTATTTAGCTATTTGCACACTTTGTATCCAACCAATAACTGGCACATAACAAGCCTTATGTAAATATTTGCTGACTGAATAAGTGAGTTCACACTAGACAGTAATTCTCCCACAGAGGAAAGGAAGTATCATCAGATTGGAAGGAAACTCATGTGATACTATCATTATATTCCCTGTCTTCTCTGGTTCAACTGCTAGAAGTCCTGGGCTGTCCTACAGATCTGTCTACTCCAGCTCCCAGATAAGCAAACAGCACAGGTTAATGACGTAGTATAATTAAAAGACAACTGGATTGGAACATTTCCAGTTAGTAAACAAAATAGTTCTTTTTACAGAAACTCTATGGATGTTAGTTCCATAGTCTTAAATCACTATCATTCTATGGGAACCTACTAAATAGATTTAAGCCTGTGGCTATGAAGTAGAATTGTGAACTGTCTTAAAATAATGTCTTGGTTTCCCTCACTACATGTTTTTTTTTTTTAAAGAAGTTTTATTTGTGCACAAGAACTGGTGTACAGACCAGAAGTGTGGGGTGGTGAGAGGAATCACCAGAGAGAGAGTGGGGAGCAGAACAGGAGGACTGACAAAATACACTTCTTAGGGGAGCAACGGGCAGTCGGGAGAGGTCTGTCACGCCATGTGAGTCACCTCCCCTCCCGGGGATCGAACTCTCACTGAAGTAGCTGCGGCCAGCTCCACAGTGCTGCACTTTAACCTACTGCACCACCAGGAAGAGCCCTCGATGGTTCCAATTTCATTGGGAAAAATATTACTGTGAAATTTTAATTTATTGCAATACAATTGAAAAATACTTGCTCAACAACTATTACATACATTAGGATATTTTAGAAACAACTACTCACACCAATCTCAGTAAGATCCTGTATCATGTATTTATTCCAAAAAAATCGGTCATCGACCTGGAAAAGTTAGAGAATAAATAAATAGTAAAGAAATATGTTGTTTCAATTTTCCTATTGAAGTTGAAGGGGCCCATAAGTTGTCCCCTCAGAGGGAAACACTGTTCTGAGCTGTCAAAAGTACCTTCTGCCAGAGGGGACGGAGGTCATTTTCCCCAGCGCTTTGCCTCTGCACCGAATTGGTCAGATCATAGGTCAAGCTATAATAAAAGGATTCCGAGTCCATGAACATCTTTAGCAACTCCTCAAGTAATCTTCTCTCCAACTTCTCTTTCTCTTTACTTTCTTTAACCTATAAGAAATGAATCTGTTATTGCAGGAATTAAGTGTGAATCTTAACGTGGCTAATACCCAACTTTCTAAGGGGGACAAGTAAAAATAATTGCCAAGGACATGCAAAGACAGTGCTTTACTACGATAAGTAGTTTGAAAATAAGTTTACTGGGAGAAAAATTACAATTCGATTTAAAACTAAAGACAAACTTCAAGCCCCATGTCAAACGCTTACTTTCTTTTTATTAGGAGCTGACACATTGGACTTAATGTGTGTAAAAGTCTTCAGTAAAAACTTCGAGTCATCAGGAGATGGTATAATCTTCTCTGGTTTGTTAATTCCAAAATGATGCTTCTTACAGAGCTAAATAATTCGGAAGAGAAAGAGAATCGTTATTAATATCTGCTTGCTAAATGGTCAAGTAGAAATTCATGCACTGTGGATAAAAGTAAACTTCCAAGATTTAATAAAATGACCAAGGAGACAACAGATATTAGAAACACAGCTGTGGTGGCAAAGATTACAAAACTATAACAGAGGATAAGCAAAGGTTACATGACAGGAGAGCCTTATGCTAGAGAGGTAAGAAGTTCAAATTAGAATCATAATTATAACAAACTCTATTTACAGCAACTGAAGAAAAAATGCATTGATTGAGATCTTTAATGCTTTGAAAATTGGCATATAAGATTAAAAATACTGTCGAACATGCATTCGGGGCAGTACTTTACAACTATCTGTGCCCAAAATTTAACATCTCCCTCTTATTCACACACTACTCCATCAAACTTAGCACCCTCAAAACTGATCACATCTGTTTCCCCAATCTTGTCCCTTCTCTGATATGCCCGATCTCAGGCAATGGTGTGTCCACATCATGATCACTTAAGAAACCAATGCCTCCCATTAATCCCTCTCCTAAAGGTTCCCTATTAACCTCACCTATGTCATGCTGATTACTATGGGGTTAATTTCAGACCCTTATCTGTTACCCAAACCAGTGTTTCTCACAGGAGGTGCTAGGTTTTAACAGACAGGAGGATTCTTAATGCATGATCATTGATTATTGCACTTAGAACAGACAACCTAACAGCTTGCTTTCAAGAGCTAGAAAGTCCCACTCTGGAACCAGGCTTCAAGTTCTGAGTATGGCTCTGGCCCTATTTCCCACTAGCCACCTCTTGGTTTCCTTACTGACACGCTTGCTTTTGAGTGCAGAACCAAGCCTCCGTTGGATCTACTGGTTCTATTTATAGTCCATGAAAATTCCTTTTCATTCTAGGTTTAGCAATGTCTTCTGTCTCTCTTCCCCCTCTCCCACCCTTAATTTATTATACTCTTTCTTTTCTCCCTCTGGACTTGGGAGAGTTGATATAGGCCCTAATTTCCCTTAACTTACTTATCAACAATTCCAAAGTCCAAAAACTGAAACCTCAAAGTTTATTTTTTTTAAACTCATTACAAACTCATTTACTGGTAAAGTATTCCCAGAACTGATATCAAACTACAGATAGTCATCACTCACCTCGCTTAGTATGAATAATTGATTCTTCCAGAAATATTAATGTGTTGTGTTGTAGGGTAATGCCACAGCTTCACTCTAGAGCCAATTGGGCAGGGCCCAAGGATTCTCTCTCACTTCATTCCCACCTCAAGCTAAACAGCTCTGCTTTTATGTGTCATATAAAGACTTCACAGATTTTGCAATAAAGGTTCCACTACTACCACAGGATTAAGTTGTTTTAAAGATATTATCCAGCTCTAAAGTTATATGACTCTGTTCTATTAAACCAAATTGCTCGTATTTCTTTATATCAGGTCTCCACACAGTTTCCTGATACTTCACCTTACCTCCAGTTCAAGATCCTGAGGCTCCATTTCCGAAAGTGATAGCACAGCAATTTTGGTAACTTTACAGACCTCATGGTCACCTGGTAGTTTGCCCACTAATGCTTTCTGCCGAATTAAAATAAGCCACCATGGAAGATCTGAAAGAGAAAAGTCTTATTAATACCTCTGGTTAACTATAAAATGTTACTACTTACTGCGTTGGCAAACTGAAGGTAAATAATGTAACAATGGAATGTGCATTCAATATAACCAATTTAAAACATACAACAAAGATGTAAAATGGCCTTAATGCACATAAAAAGATGTTCAATCTCTCTCATAATTACAGCAATGGAAATCAAAATGCTGTGATGCCATTCTCACTCATCAGATTGAGGAGAATAATGTCATGACCACTCATTTGCTGACCAGACTACAGGGAAACAAGCACTCCCATGCAGCTGCTGTGCATATACACAGATACGGCTGTTTTGAAGACACATTCAGTGACATATGCCAATGTGTATATATGCACTTACCTTTTTTTTCTTTATAATAGTTTATTTTTACATCAATTTGTACATTTTTTTTCCATCTCAATTATAATCCCTGTGGGTTTCCCATCACCAAGTATGCACTTAGCTTTTAACTTAGCAGTCACAATCTTCTTAACTTATCCTGAAGATATATTTTAACAATACAAAAGACTACATACTCAACTCTATTCATTGTAGCAGTTTTTAACTACAAAATACTGGAAACTTTAAGTTGTCAGATATAAGAAAATGGCCTAGATAAAATATGACACACCCACGGGTGGAGTACTATGCAACCATAAAAAGGAATCAGGGGCTTTCTATAAACTGACAAGGAGTGGTTCCTGAATACACTGAGGGGATAAACGGGATATGTTGCTAATGTGTATAATAAATATACAATATAGTGATCGAATAAAATACATTATACATTATAAAATACATTAGGCCACAGCACTAGAGTATCTAGAGTGTGCTACCTTAAAGAAGGTATGAGAAGCATGGACCCAATCGTGTGTCACTCAATGATGGGAATAACATGGCATTAGGCAATTTTGTTACTGCGTGAGAGAGTCAGAGTATAAGTACATAAGCCAAGATGATGAGTCTACTACACACCTAGGTTAGACGGGGTAGCCTGCTGGAACCAATACTACTTGTGGGGTCTGCCACTGACACACTGTTAAGCACCACATGGTTGTATATTGTACATTTCATTTGTACAAAAGAAATGTAAATTAAAAATTAATGAGATTGGTCATTCATAGGAATAGGTGGAAACAGTGGAAAAGGGGGGGAGAAATAAGATGAAGGGTGAAGGGCATGTCAGGTCTCTGAGTATTTCCTTCTGTATGGTTCTGACTGTGAGAACCATGGTAATGTCTCACATGTCAAAAATAAATACTTCAAGTCAACCAGAATGTACTGGATAATCAAAGAGAAACGCAAACCTAAATCTGTCATGTGACCTAAATCTGTTACAAATGGAAAATGTAATCACAACATAGGAGACAGGTAAGAAAATTGTAACCTAAATAATTTTGGAAAACAGTGCTTTGAAAAGATAAAAGACAGGCCCTCCCTGGTGGCGCAGCGGGTTAAAGCACAGCACTAAGAAGCTAAAGCCACTTCCTCATGAGTTCGATCCCTGCCTGCCCCGGAGGTGACCACATGGCGCGGCAGACCTCTCCTGACCCGCCCACTGCTCCCCTCAGCAGTGTACTTCGTCGATCTGCCTGTTCTGCTCCCCACTCTGTCTCTGGTGAAGCCTCTCGCCGCCCCTGAACCTCTGCCCAGTTCTGTAAGCACAAATAAAAATTGATCTTTAAAAAAAAAAAAAAAGAAAAGATAAAAGACAAAAAGAACTACAAACAACACTCTGGTTAGTGAATTTGTTTTTCAGAGAGTATGGGTTAGCAATTTCAAAATGACAATTACACTATGAGAAAATAAGCAGCTACACTGAGGTGAACTAGGGAGTTGGGGTGGTCAAACAAATGAAAGAATATTTGATAAATACAAGAAAAATGGAAAAGAAACACCCAAGCCCCAATATATAGGTTTCCATCCAAATTTCTACCCACATAAGATTTTTAATTAAAGAACAGTCTATGAAAGAGAAATACTATGTATTTTTTAGAATTACATAGCACTTTGATTTCTTCCATTTCCCCCCCAGGTGTTAACCAACTTATTTTAGGGATAGCACTTGGGAAATATGCTTTATGTATTTCATAAACGCAGAAGCTATTACGTGTTTCATAATTCTTTATAAAGTAGGGTAGAATTTACTCCAAAGTTTCAAAACTTATACAGACAATTTCACTATTCACTATCATTAGACATTAACCAAGGGCTTACCCTGTGCTGAGAAGTATTTTAAGAATGGATCTGGTAAGATACAAAGCACCTAACACATAATAAGTATATTGCACATATAAACCAATGGCATGGAACACATTTTGTTGAATAAAAAGAAATATTTACACAGGTATCTTTACTTCACAGGAATAATTTCTTTTAATATAAATGATTTTTTAAATGTATTCATTACATCATTTTTCATTTTTGTACAATGTATGAGTTCCCCATGAAATTCCTACCATATATGCATTTGAATTTCTGCCAAACATTTAAGTTTGTGATATGGTTAACAGAATTTTTGTTTTATGTTTTATGTTTATGTTTCTATTTTTTTTAACTATATTAAAAGAAATTCCATTTTTCCTCTCATGGAAGTGAGCACAATCCACCCCTGAATATATTCAGGGGGCACCACCCACCAAATAACTTCCAGGCACCACTACCACCACCCCAGCACTGTGCCAGTCACGGGGCCAGCCACCTGGTGACGAAGAGACCACGCTGGTTTCCATGCTCTCAGTGAATAGACAGCTAGTTATTAATTTGCTCATCTTCCAAATATATCAACTAGCCAGTGTTTCTTGGTCGTTCTCATTAGTCAGTGGTTGCTCTGTTGCCTACTAAGTTTTCCTCTGTCTGGGCTTAGCAAGGTGACAAGGACTCATAAGGTGACAAGGACTCACAAGGCACTTTTTTTTTTTCTCCCCATTATTCATCCTTCATTTTATAGAATTTACTATTTCTTTTTTACTTTAAAAAATTTTAATATAATAGTTTTTTTTACATCATTTTATGCCTTTTTCCATCTCAGTTGTAATCCCCATGGGCTTCCCATCACCAAATCACCCGTATGCCATCAGCATAGTCCAGAGCACTTCTCCCCTACCCCCCATTTTTTATCTCATTCCCCACTTCACCCCTGTAAAATTTCTCTGGTATATAGTTGTTCATTATTATTATTTTTTACCCCTGGTCCTTTATGCTCCTGCTATGAGTGAAACCTTCTGGCATTTTTTCTTCTTCTTTCTGGCTTATTTCACTAAGCATGATCACCAGGCACTTTTAATAGGCTTTATTTCAGAAGTACCAAATGCAATTAGAGGCATATTCAGCTTAGTCTATGAAGCTTAACATTTAAATCCCTAGTAATGACCTGCCATAAAACGAAATAATCTATGAGGTTCCGTACAAATATGCAATCCTTTTAATAGTCTCGGATTAGAAAAGTGTAGCTTATAAAATCATCATTGGGCAAAATAAATAACCATATAAAAATGCATTTTCCAGGTAACTACAGATTATCCTAAAATGCTGTTTCCTGTGTGTTCACTGAAAATGAACTATCTGTTAAAACAAAGCATACTGAAAAATTTTTTTATCACAATGCAGGTTTATAAACATGAAGATAATTTACTGCTTTGAGGGGTGATATTAAGAATATCCTGCCTGATGCCCTGAGCTCCCAGGTGAGGCCTTGGTCACGCATAACCCTGAACTGGAATAAGTAAATTGGAAAATGAATGAGAAAATGCACAGTTGTTTGTTATCTGAGTTTTTTTTTTTTAAAGATTTATTTATTTATTTGTACAGAAATGGGGTACAGGCCAGAGATGCGGAGGGTGAGAGGATTCACCAGAGACAGAGTGGGGAACAGAACAGGCAGATCGATGAAGTACACTGCTCAGGGGAACAGCAGGTGGGTCTGCCAGGCCATGTGGATCTCCTCCGGGGCAGGCGGGGATCAAACTCATGCGGAAGTGGCTTTAGCTTCTTAGTGCAGTGTTTTAACCCGCTGCGCCACCAGGGAGGGCCTGTTGTCTGAGTTTTAATTTAGAAATCTGGTGATGGTTTGGTGACAAGAAATAATGTATAGGAACTTAACTCTTGTTCATATTAACTAGCCTGTGCTAAACTGGTTTTGTTATATGTTTCTTTATTTAAAGTGACTATTTCTAAGAACCAGTTGTCACATTAGGTAAGGACCTTAGTTATTGAAAGCACCTTTACAGATAGCGCAAGGATACAGTCAATCTTACTTTAACAATCCTCTTCCTCTTTGTGAGGCTAAAATCTTATTATCAATGACATAAGAATCACTGAGGAAAACAACTGGTGTTTAAGAACAAATAGGCTTATAACCTTAAAATGGAATAACCATGAGATAGCCTAAAAGACAACTTACCCTGCCTCTAAAGAATCATTCTGCTTAAAAATCTAAAAACCTGCCAGTTAGAGATGTGCTCACAAATAAGAAGCACACTTGTCTGGTGACCTCTGGAAGAGTTCAGAACCCTGGATTCACACCCATGTGTCCAGTTCAAGCATTGTTCCCTGCAGGGAACCTCTATACAAGAAACTGGGACTCAAATTAGGGATAAGGGAGGTAGTGGAAAATTCTAAAACATAAAGTGATGCAACAGGCTGAAGGGCCATGCAGTACCTAGGTCCCTGGAAGAGAGTAAAAGCATGAAGAGGAAATCCAAAAAGAGCATTGAGAAGATGCCAAAGGCAATCTCTCACACCACTTAGCTGCCTGATGCCAAGCTATTAATAAGTTAGATAAATTACAATTAAAAGCTAGTCTTAGTTCTAAAATAAGATCCTTATGAATAATAAAATGACCATATTTGAATTACACTTTAAATCATTTCAACTTTGGTAGAAATGTTAGGTCATAAATACTGTTTCTTTAGAATATTTCCAAGCAAGTTTAGTACATGAAAAATCACTGGTAAGTTACCCAAAGGTAGATGTATTTA